CTAGGGCTCAGCAAGGGCATGTGACCAGACCACATGACACTGCACTCCATTTTGGTACCTGTATTTTTCCACAAACTGGACTGGGAACTTTGGGGGGGAACCCTTGTTTCCAGCTATGAAGAGACTATACAAGGCAGGGCGTGACATCGTGATTGGTCTTCACTCCCCAACAACCCAACACCTGAAAGAAGCGCTTAAAGACAAAGGACTTGGGAGGGGAGAGGTGAACCCAAGCTGCAAAGCAAGTGCAGCTTGTGCCTTAAGAATCTGCCAGCCTGCATGTAGTATCAGTCAGGGTAAGAGGATTTGAATCAGTAATCTATCTGGTATGTTAGGCTTAGTTTGCGGTTTTGTTTATTACGTAATCTGCTTTGATCTGTTTGCTATCACTTAAAATCTATCTTTCTGTAGATAATAAAATTGTTTTATGCTTTCTCTGAACCAGTGTGTTCTGAGTGAAGTGTCTGGGAAAATCTCAGCTCTGTGAACAGAGGCTGTTGCATCTCTTTCCCACATCGAGAGGGGAGCAAATTAATGAGCTGACATTATACAGATCCCTGGGAAGTGCAAGACAGTATAATTCTGGGTTTAAACTCCAGCAAGAGAGCAAGGCTGGGAATTTGGCTGTTGTATTCTGTCTGCCCTTGAGTGGCTTAGGTGACGCCACACACAGGCTCTGAAGACACCGGCTGAATCTCCCGCAAAGCGGTGTGAGAGAGGCCTGCCCAGCTAGAGGGTTAGAGGGACAGCGGTTCCCACGGCTCCAGACTGCACCCTGGGGGTCACAACCTGTCAATCACATTGCCCACCTTGGGTCTCTAACATCCTGGGACCGAGACAGCTGCAACACTGCCCTGAATTTGGCACTCACGGTCGTGAGCCACTCCCGACAGCGTGATAGTTTTACCTAAACATGCTGGGAGGGCAATTAGTCTATATGCTTCAAGTCTTGGGCACGATTTACCCGTTTTCCTCACTGGGACAATCATCAACTGTTTCCATTCTTAGGCATTTCACCTTGTCTCCTATTATATCATTTTAGTATCACCCTGTGATGGGGTCCACTCACTTCCTGTGAGCGCCTCTACCAACCGGGGGTCCTGCACCTGCACTCCCTCTGCATTGTGTTGTTTGCAGTGACCCCTGCTGGCCATTAAACATCTCTGGTGGGTTTCCAGTGACTCCGCCCTCCAGCCAAGTAACACACAGTCCACGCGTGAAACAAACAGACAAACAGACCCTTTCCGGGATAAACAGTCCAACAGGGCCTGTCACAGTACCCTGGTTATTGCCCCTCCTGTCTTGGCCCCTTCTGGCTCACTCAGGTATCATCCCCGGCTCTGATATGGAGCAGTGCCCAGTGGTGTTGGAGCGATATTTATAGTGGGGGTGCTGAGAGCCATTGAACCAAACTACATCAAGCCAGGGGGTGGTGTGACACCCCCAACACCACTGGCAGTGCCCCCAGGGCTTCCTCCCTGGTGTCCTATCTCTCCAGCTGGGTCACTGTTTATAGTTCAGTCCCCTTCCGGGGTGTGTGTGTGTAATTAATTTCCACAATTACTGACCCTCTTTCGGCTCGTCAGCCCCTTCTCTGGGCTACTCCCTTCCTCGGGGTTTTAGCCACTCCAGCTGTGGCTGGTAGGAGAAGACCCAAGCCCACCCACTACTGCAGGTCCCAATCCAGGGATCCTACAAATAGCAGCCGCCTGCTACTTCCTTTTAACTATCTGCTACTGATTTCCCTTATCCACTTCCATTCTTAGCCCCAGTACCTTCCTTGCAGCCTGACTCCAGCCAGCACTGATCTGCCCCGCCCTACAGCCAGCCAGGAGCACCATCCTTGCTCCTCTGGCTCCACCAAGCAACTGAACTGCTCTCTCTAGCAGCTCCCTTTCATATGAGCCTGCTGGTCTCTGACTGGCTGCTCCCTGCAGCCTCTCTAGGCAGCTTGGAGGGCCCACCTCTACTGCTCCCTTTCCTGGGGCGGGGTGCAGTAGCACTGCAGGGCCTAGTACAGCCCATCACACACTCCAAGCTTCCTTCACTTATGTGTTTAAGTATTTCAAAGCTTATTTCATCCTTTCCTGGTGCAGTGCATTTTGCTCCTTAATATTGCTTTTTGGAGTTCTCTCATACAAACGTTTTCATTTAAAATAATAGCCACGTCCGCCTCCCACCTCTTCATCATCTCATAATTTCCTCAATGCATGTTCTTTTCCTCTCCCTAATCTCTATCCTCTGAGTCTCATCATTACTGAGGGTACATCTACACTTACCTCCGGGTCCGGCGGCAGGCAATCGATGTTCTGGGATCGATTTATCGCGTCTGGTTTAGACACGATAAATCGATCCCGGATTGATCCTGGAAGTGCTTGCCGTCGACGCCGGTACTCCAGCTCGGCAAGAGGAGTATGCGGCATCGACGGGGGAGCCTCCCTGCCGTGTCTGGACCCGCGGTAAGTTCGGACTAAGGTACTTCGAATTCAGCTACGTTATTAACGTAGCTCAATTTGCGTACCTTAGTCCGAAGTGGGGGGTTAGTGGGGACCAGGCCTTACTTTCTCAAGGCATGGTATTATATGGCTCTTCTTCTTTATTCCATCCATTTCCCTAATTTGTTTCTATACCTCTGCTGTATTGGGATCTATCTTTACTTTACCACAGTATGGTCTCCAGCTTTCTCGTCTTGCCCTTTGTGCAACTGCCTTCTTTTTTTTTTTACATTTCATTATTTTTTCATATTTCCTCTCTATTTAATGAATTCTTTGTTGTCATATATGCCTTCTTCCTTCTCCTAACTGCCATTTCACATGCCTTGTCCCACCATGGTACACTGTTCCTATCTTTACGTAGCATTGGTATCCTAGAAGTAGCTACGCAGGCTGTCTTTATGATTCCCCTAGTAACATTACAAGAGAATTCCTCAATAGCTTCATTTATACATGGCTCATTCACATGTTCCTCACTTTTGTTTCTAAACAGTTTTCAATTTGCTTTGTTTAGATTTCAAGTGGGGATATTTTCCTCGTCTTCAGTATTTCCTTTTCCTTGCTATGTAATTGAAGTCGGGAAATGGTCACTACCCATTCCCTCCTCTCTGTACATTTCCCAGCTGCATTTCCTAGCGATGGTGCCAGAAGCTGTTCCCAGATCAAGTATGAGAAGCTTCTGCCAGAAGTATTGGTCCTGGTAGGTGCTCCATCATTTAATATTGCTAAATTATTCGCTTCAAAGAATTGTTCTTAACATTTTCCCTTTTTATCATTTTCCTCACTTCCCCACCTTACTTCAGATCACCACAGATAATGAACAGGCATGTGACATTTGCAGTTAATTCTTTTAGGGCAATCGCCTTTAGTTTCCTGCCGGTGTTATAAACATTAAAAAATCTTAGAGAAGCAGTGTTGTTTTGTATCAGTATCTCAATAGCTTTATATTTAACCTTTAATTCAATTGGTTCAGGTCCCCTTAATGAAGGTGCAGACACCCCCATCCTTTTCTATTTTGCGATCATGTCTATATAAGCCATATCCCGGGAATGTATAGTCCAGTTTTTCTTGTCATGCCAAGTCATAGAATATCAGGGTTGGAAGGGACCTCAGGAGGTCATTTAGTCCAAGTCTCTTGTATGCATCTTATATCAGGCTGTGGTTTCATGTCATTGGGTATTTTTCTTTAATTCCTGCCTGTAGGGGGTTTGGCCGGGGCTTGCCCCCCTCTGGGGCAGCGGGGAACCAGACCGCCTCGCTATTTCGGTCAGGGGTGTCAGGGAACTAGCCTGGTTGTGCAGCAAACAGTCAGCAGCTCAGGCCCTCAGGCAGGGGCGGAGCAAACAGTCAATATTAGCACACCCAGGTCCTGGGTCAGGGCAGGCCAACAAACAGTCAGTAGCTCAGGCCCTCAGGCAGGTGCGGAGCAAACAGTCAATATTAGCAAGCCCAGGTCCTGGGTCAGGGCCGGGCAACAAACAGTCAGTAGCTCAGGCCCTCAGGCAGGGGCGGAGCAAACAGTCAATATTAGCAAGCGGGGCAGTACAGAGTCAGTGGCCCAGGCCCTCAGGCAGGAGCTGCTCAGACAAATGAGTTCAGGAGGCCCAGGCCCTGGCTCTGAAGAACCTGGGAGAGGGGGAGATGGCCACTCGCACGTTGGGTGGCAGGGGGGACGCAGGCCCACCCCCTCCATTGCGGCCCTAGCAGCGGCAGAAGACCCGCTGCTGAGTCAGTGGGGATCCTGACCACAACACACTGACATTGGCTCTGGGTGTGCTGCGGCCTATGTCCATCAGAGTAATGGTAAGTCTCTCTAATTAATTCTATCTTAGAAACTTAGGGCCAGATTTTCAAGTGCTCAGCACCCACCAATGGAGTCAGATGTTCAAGAGAGCTCATTCATGGCCAGATTTTCACACAGAGCTAGACACCCAAGGTGCTGAGCTTTCTAGAAAATCTCGTCAGTTATTTTGGTGCCTAAATGGAAGCCAAGTTCTTTTGAAAATCTGGTCTGTAATAAGAAGTTCTGTAATTGGCATGTTTTGGGCTGGTCTCTACTTCACTTAATGTGGAGTGCAGACAGTAATACTAATCTACCTGATACAGCTCTTTGAGGGCTCTGGATGAAAGATACCTGTGAAGTATTATTACCATAACCCTACAACATTATGACTGTTCCTATTTGCTCACCCCATTGACAGGGAATTACATATAGCAGTTGATCTTGCTGCAAGCTATTTTTACTCAGCAGGATTATAAAGCCTTCTAAAAATCTCTCAGCTGTTAGGTAACATGATGTTTTTTGCATATTCCATATATGATAAAATCTCTGCGGCCTTCTATGTGGAAAAGGGTCCTTGATTTCTTCCAATGTCTATTGAATGATGGCCAGACAGAACACCGAGCTTTTCCTCTCTAAACAGGAAACAACAACCCTGTGAAAGCCCTTCTAATATTGATAGTGTTTGGTTTCATGCTTCCTTTGTCTCCCATTGAATAGGATGAGAGTTTTGCCATTGACTTTATTGGGATCTTAATCAAATATTTTAAAGATGATAACATCAGTTATAAGTAGATACCAAAACCAGGATTTTTCTTCTGGCTATAGGGTCATTGCTGGATTTTTCATTCATGGCCCTTTGCAGCCCAGAACACAAGCACTCCTTATCCCAATCTCTACCTGGGTTTCATTAGAGCAAACTCCCATGGTCTCCAGGAACCTGAAACAAGAAATGGAGGAAGGGTCACTTACTTTGTCATTGTATAGATTGACTCATGTCCTACAAGAGGCAGAGGTGACAGTCAGTTCTTAGCATCGCAGCCTAAGACTTTGTCTTCACTACTACACTACATCGGCACAACTGCATTGATGCAGCTGCACAGATGTAGTGCATCTGGTGAAGACATGCTATGGCAACGGGAGAGCGCTGTCCTGTCCACAAAATTACTCCACCTCAATGAGAGGTGGAAGCTGTACCAGTGGGAGATGGTCTCCTGCCAACATAGTGCGGTGTAGACAGCGCTTTAAGTCGATGTAACTGACGTCGCTCAGGGGGATGATTTTTCACAGCCCTGAGTGATGTAAATTACATTACATTGGCTTAAGAGCTAGTGTAGACAAGCCCTAAGACATACCTGTCCCACCAAAACCATTCTACTCTTACCAGAAAAATTGATACACAAAAGGTAATTCAAGAGAAACTTACTATGTCTAAAGCAGTTTTAGCACATTATCTGTGCCAGTCACTAACTGTAATTACTGAGGACCGTATGGTAGGCTGCCCATATGTGAAACTCCTTTTGGTGTTACTGGGTTTGTATGAAGAGACTGAAGCCACCATATAGCCCAAGAGATTGTGGTTTATTGGGTTTAAGCTGGAACTAGAAGCTCAAGCTCTCAATATTTTATTCCTTTGCTAATTAAATGTGAGGATGTCTCAGAAGTAAGTACTCAGTATCAAGTACCAGGAGGAGGAAATTAGCTAAGCTGCCAATTTTATGAAGAATCAAGCTAAGTATCAAGCTTCACCAGTGACAGCAATGCACATAGGGGATTCTGGCAGAAATACTGGGCCATAACCCCAGCTGGCTAACGTTGGCATAGCTCTGTTGAAGTTAATGGGGCTTTGCTGATTTAAGCCAGCTGAGGATCTGGCCCATAAAAAGCCAATGGCTCACAATACTGACCCAGAGCAAAGATGGCTGCACCACTGCAACGACTCTCCGCCCTTCTCCCAGCGTTGGAGGAGTTGTTGTGACCTCACTCTTCACCTATGTCATACAAGAGAGCTGCCCACATTCTGTTTGTTTTCTTACATTGTTTTTACCTTTGTTCAGTTTTTTGGAGGAGGGATTTTGCTGCTTCAGGGTCGCTCCTCAGAAAGGCTTGATACATGGAGAAGGACTGGAATAGCCCGATCACCCCAGAAACGGACATGGGAATTTTGTCGAAGATCTGGGTAACTCTGCAAGAGTGGGAAGAAACCAGAGCATTGGAGAAGTTAGCCTGGAGGGTAATGGAGCTATGCTGATTTAGACAAGCTGAGGATCTGGCTCATGTGGATTATTAAGATGTGGGGCATGATCCGTTATCCCTTCCCCTTTTTGGACATTTGGTTATGGGGAAACCTCTCCCATTTGATGAAGAGGCCACACAGATGAACCAGACAGACCAGGGACTGGAGATGTGTTTGAAGGACATTGGACCAAATGATCTCAGGGCTACCTGCTAACCGTAAACTCTATGAATCTTCTTCAACCTGCAGTCTCAAAGTGAACTCCAATGACTGCCACCAAGTGCCCAACATTCCAGGGCTCACACAGTCCACAATGCAAGAGATTACATACAATTCAGTTTAGTCCTTGTCTTCTCACCTCTTCGTGTCTGGAAAAGGCATGGACTCAAACACCTCTTTATACTCTGCAATCACAAGATTTACTTTTTCATCTGCATATTTAAGAAGCTGGTCATGGGTCTGTGAACAGAAACAGCAAAAATGTTACGTAAGGCCTTGATCCTCCACTCCATCTGAGCTGCACTCTCTGATTCAGGGCTGCCTGGCCCGAGGGCAAGTTAGAGTTACACAGGAGAATAATAGAATAATGCAGACTCTTCAGACTTCCCCTATACATAATACTCACAGAAGTTGTGTGAATGGGCTATATTTGAACAATTTTAGTTTGGGTTTAACGGTCATTTCCCTCCCCCCGACCACCCACCCATTATTGTTTGTACTGGACAGAATCTCTTTCTGCTGGGTTGGTATAGTAATGTTCTTTTCCAGAGAATTCCATGAAAAACTGCCCTACTTCAAAATGGCGGACATAACCTCTTCCATTGTTCTTACTGGGACTTAGGCCATAAGGCTGACCTTGGTTAAGATGCCCTCCAACAAAATGATCACTGCCCACCCAGTAAGAATGAAGCCATCTCAGGGAAGATGGTGGCCACCTGTGCCATCAGGAGGCAGATAGGAATATTGTGACAACCAAGTGAATGGAGACAGCAGCCATCTTTGTTGAGGCATCCTGTAGCCTTACCCATAGATAGCCATCTCAAAATGGCCCCCTAACTGTATGGCACTATGGAGGTGTGGGAAGGCAGAAAGCTAATATGTCTTTACAATCAGTTCAATCTAAAGAGACCATAGCATTATAATGCCTTAGTCAGAAATCTATGGGTATTGTATGGTATCTATAGAGGACAGAATTAATGTTTTTTGGGTACCTTGCCTGAGTCATTTCCTTTCTATAAGGAAGGTAAGTCTAACAATAACTCTGAATGTCCTGGTTTGTAATACTTTGTTAGGGGATAATTACAACAGCCACTAATATAATTTTATCCCAAATTATTCATATGTACTCTGAGCCATACCTCAATGTGAAGGTAGTTTTGGTCTGGGATTAGGTTTTATGTGATGGAAGCTGCCTGAACACAAGCCAGCCTTCCCAAATGTACCACTTCACCCTGCACCATTCCATTAGGGCTGGATCCAAATCCCAGTGGAGTCAAATGACTCTTGCTTACTTCCTTGGACTTTGGCTCAGGCCTTACATACAACCCCAAGGCTACATTAAAAGAACATTATTCAGGATACAAAGTCAAGTACTCAAAGTTAGAAAATGCCAGAATTAAGGTTGTTTGTGTAACCGTAATTTGCCCCCTTTGTACATCTGCTGTATGACACAGTCTTTAAATTACATGATTGAATACTATTTTTTCCACAGGACCTCTGCCTCATGCAGTGCACAAGATGGACAATGCTCACATAATGAGTAGCTATTCAATATTTTGCCTTATCCTCATTGTTCAACGTGTGGCCTCATGCTTTATTTCCTGCATACTATTCAAACCCTGCCATGCACAGTTATTAATTTCTGAGTGGGCTTGTCTGTGGCGCTCACCACCATAGTGTTTGAGTGCTTCACAAACTTTAACCATCCCAGCCTCCATCCCCAAGCTCCTCATCCACCTCAGACTTCCCCCTCATCTCCCTCTCAGGCACCTTGTCCCACTCTCCTTGCCCAAGCAGTTCTAGCCGCCAGCCTGGAGCCCTCTGTATGCCAAATTACCCTGTTCTCACTGGGTCCCAGTCGCAGACTCCCCGTCCTCCCAAAGCTCCTTGTCCCAATCTACTTCCTCTAACTCCACCACCATGACTCATGTCCTCTCTGAATTGAGCCAGGCATGCTGCCTGGGCATAAGCAGAGCACCACTGAAGACAGTGTCCCTGCTCTGAGGACTGGTGCCCAGCACCATAGTGACCTGCAGCAGGGAACCTCCAGCTCAACCCCAACAGCTTCAGGATGGAGCATACTCAATTGCTGGGTGGGGATGGTGCATTCACAGTCGGTGGGCGAGCAGCAGGAGCTGTGAGGAGCTGGAGCATGCTCACTGCAGATGGAATCTTTGGAAAATTTAGCTGCCAAACCCTCTACTGAGAATGTTCAAGCTGAAATTTTTCAAAGACTTATAACTTGGCCGAGTTCGGGCAGTTTTCCCATGGGTAAAAAATCAGAAGGCACATGCCTCATACAACCCCTCTGCAAATTTCAAACCGCAAGGAGGAGCTAGAGATTCTCAACACAATGGGTATAAGAATTTGTTTTGAAATGGGCAAAGGCACCTATTATTCTCTATTTCTGTTTTTTGGAAATGGCTGACTGTTTTTGCTGTGTCAGACAGGCAGAAAGGAACATTTCAACCCAAATGGTTAAGGTCCGGCAAAGTTATAAACAGCTGAAAACAGGGTCTTATACAGGAAAGTGTCTGGCAACCCTAAAATATACACTATACACTTCCCACCATATGAAGTGGTTGTTTTTTTTTAAAGGATTGTTTTCTTCTCCCACCTCAGTGAAGATTTCCGTAAGCCTCTCAGAGCAGTCTTTATAGTGCATACTGAAGTCTGCAGTGTAGGTGCTAAGGGCCACACAGCGATGTGGCTTGAGAACTCGATCCACTTCTTTCATGAACCTCGGCATATCAAACCAGTGAGCAGCTGTAAAAGCAGTAATGAGATCCACAGAGCCATCTGCAAATGGCAGCTCCTCTGCAGGGCACACACTATAAAGGGAAACAGGGAAAATATTTCAACTGGGAAGAAGGAGTCTCTACTGGGGCCTGACATGCATGAAACTTGTCACGTGTGGACTCTGCTGAGAGGAAATATGGTGTTGTTGAAAATCTGATATTGAAAAATCTAACTTTTTTGTTCTCTTGGAACTGAAGCACAGTTTGGCCTAAGAATGTCAGCCCAAGTTTTCACAATTGGAGCTCCAAAATCCATATTTAGGCATTTAATTAGGAGCGGCCTGAGTTTTAGAAGCTGAGCACCTGCAGCTCCTGCCGACTTCAGATGGAGTTGTGAGTTCTGGGTACTTTGTGAAAAAGCAAGCCCAATATGTTTGAAACCTAAAAATGACTGGCCTAGTTTGAAAATGCTGGCTTATATCTGTCCTGTTCACGAAGTGCTTGCTTTGTGCAAAGGTCAGCACTCTGGACACACCCAAAGGGAAAGCATCCTTTTATGGAACACTTACTGGTAAGTAACATTTGGGAAGGAAGCAGCTTGTTTGGCTGCCTCTATTTGAGCTTCACTGATGTCTGTTCCAACCACCTTCTCAAAATGAGCGGCGAGTACGCGAGTGCTTTGTCCCGACCCGCAGCCGACATCCACTGCCAGCCGAATGGGGTCTACTTTCTGAGGAGAGAACAGCCACGTCTCAGCAAGCAGAGCACAAATTCTTATGAAGAGCGAAATCTTAGTCCTCTTTACACCCCTATGCACATACCAAGTCCTAGTCACAGAGTAAAGGCTCTGATTCTCCAGGTAATTAAAGTAATTTCTGTAGTATCCTATTGGTTTCACTCCCATTGCATTCTACAGGTCTTCTCCACAGTAGAATTCATAACATGTATTCTCAGCCTAGGGTAGGGTTACCATATTTCAACACTGAAAAATGAGGATACTCCACGCGGCCCCGCCCCCAACTCCGCCCCTTCCCACCCCCATTCCAACCCCTTCCCCAAAGTCTCCGCCCCTTCCCACCCCCATTCCAACCCCTTCCCCAAAGTCCCCGCCCCAACTCTGCCCCCTCCTCTGAGCACCCCACATTCCCCCTCCTCCCTCCCGCTCTGATCTTGGTTGGGGGTTGCTAAGTGCTTCATAAACTGTAAAACGTTTGTAAAACCTACAAAGTGAGGGTGAAACAGAGAAAAGTCTGTGAGCAAAACAAGCTGCTAGTGAGGGAGACATGGTTATCTATATGAGATGTTTTTATTTAAGAATCCATGGTAATACAAATAGTAATGATGATGATGGTGGTAATGCTACAAATAAGCAGTTAAGATTGGGACCTTATTCTAAACAAGAAAATAAATCTAAACCATGGAGAATGCAGTGAAAATTAATATTGATTATTAGGAATAATGGTGAGATAGGAATAGCATCATGATGGTCAAGGAGAAGGGATTCCGCTAGGGCCAGGTAGTAACCATGGTTCTATTTAGTATTTGTGTCAAAGCACATTCATTGCTTAAATACAGTTCTCTGGTTTAGTTATTTGGTACAGTAACTTGCAAACCGTGAAGCCGGTAGCGCTCCGGCAAAAGACGCTCGGGGGACACCGAGTGCGAGTGGCTGCAGCAAAACTAATAACTCGCACTGAGATGATGTCACAGCGGGCGACCCTCACACACACACACACACACACACACACAAACACAAATTCAGAGAGCCTAGCCTCCCTATTTTCCCGGACATGTTCGGCTTTTTGGCAATTCCCCCCGGATGGGGATTTGAGGACCAAAAAGCCGGACATGTCCGGGAAAAACTGGACGTATGGTAACCTAGGGCCTTACAGTGTCACTTACCTTTTCTTCCAGGTAAGAGAAGATGACACTTTGGAGGTTTTCAGGGGGAGGGAATCTGTATTTCTGATAGGAAACTGCATGATCTTGTGCCTCGAACAAACGCACAGCCATGTTCCAGCAAACTGGCACCTAAGGGGATTAGGCAAATTCACTTTGTTACATTAGCCATAAGATCAAACTCCACTGACTATCTAATTAACTCCATTAAATATTACTCAAGTTAAGTACTGAAGTTCTAACCTTTGGAATCAGCTAATGGCAAAGATACTTCATGTTCAGTTTGGGTCAGTGAACTTTGTTTTTCAAGTCTCTTGGTCTTGTGTGTAGGTGGTAAATGTAAAAAGCAGAATACAGGGGTTTGTGGGAGGAAATACGATGTGGGCCAGATCATCTAGTGCTGGAAATCAGAAGGGAACTGGGCTATGCTGATTTGCACCAGCTGATTATCTGGGCCTATGTTTACAGCAGGGCTGGTCAAAATATGTCACATTATTTTTTGTCAAAAATACCTTTTTTTAACTATTTGTCAAAAAACAGTCACAAATATTGTGGCATTTTCTTTTTTTTTGTTATTTTAAAATAGCTTTTGCTATTAATTTTTTGGTTTTTCTTATTTTCTGTTACTCTCTGTCCTCCCTTGTTTTTCTCCACACTCATTTTTGAAAATTGTCTCTCTCCCCTCTGCAATAACTGTGGGGGTGGGGAAGAAAGAGAAAAAAGGGGGGAACCCCCCCCCCCAAACACAAGTGACAAAAATACCTTGAAAACTATTTTAAAACTTAAAAAACAAGTGCCCCCTTTTTAGTTTGTTTTTGAAGTTTTAAAATAGTTTTCAAGGTATTTCAAGGCGGTTCTCATTTTACAGAGTCTTAAGTGCCCCCTTTTTAGTTTAAGACCCTGTAAAATGAGAACCACCTTTCAAATTTCATTCTGTCTTGTTGAAGCTGTTCCACTGTGTAGAAGCATTAAACATTCATTGGGTCACGAGAGAGTGTAAGAACTACTATGTAGCCTAGTGGTTTGGGCACACACGTGGGAGACCCAAGTTCAAGTCTCTGACCTGCCTCATTTAAGACAAAGGATGGGAACCTGGGTCCCCCAAATACCAGGTGAGTGCCAGTTAAGTAGGAATTCTCTGTGGCAGCTGAGTTCTGCAATCTTACAGGATAGCCAAGTCTGAACCGTTTATAGTCCCAAAGATATTCATATCTTATGAAATAACACTGCCTATATGATCAATTGTATAACCACATAGTGCAACGTCACTGGGCATATCACAAGCTATTTAGAAAAAAAAATCTGCTGAATAAAAAAAACTTGTACATTATACAAAATGATAAAACCTTGGATACAGAACAATCTTGATACCAGAAAGCAATATCACTTCATTAACTGATATTTACATTCGTCTTGGATAGAATGCAGGATAAGATACAGAAATAGATACGGTGTATCCTCCTCTGTTATCTTGGTTATTAGGCTTTTCCCCCTATAACTAACAATGAAGAAATTTAGCAAGAACTAGACCTTCCTTCTGAGCTGCCCAAAATGTCTTCTTGTGGAAGAGACACTGTGATGGGTTTAATGCCCCTGGAGAAGTCTCCTGCTGCCAAAAGGCTGCTAGCAATAGCTGCCAACCAAAGTGCCTTGCTCTCTCTGTGTACAACCATACACTATAAGACAACATTAATCAAAACATCTTTGCTTGTCTCTTCAGTGCATTCTATCACATTTTTGCATAAGGGGACATCTGGGTAGGTTATTTGCCTCCACATCAGATTTCTCTGGATGATATTTGACTTTGAAGTTAAAGTCAGCTAATTCTGCAACCCACTGGTGTGCTATGGCATTCAGCCTTGTAGAGAGAATAGTTTATAATGATATCGACCCCTATGTCCATGAAGGATTGTGTGTAGTAGAGGTTGTCGGGAAACTCCAGATTCCAGTATCTGAATGTGTCATGGGGACAGGGCGCAGATGAATACATAAAGGACGATGGGAGTTTAAGACCAGCTATGATGGGACTGGTATCAGTACCTGAATATTATAGAATAGAAACTACCATTCTGTCTCTAAAGGATTTCAATTCATTTCACATGAATCTGACAAAGTGAGTATTCACCTACGAAAGCTTATGCTCCAATACGTCTGTTAGCTTATAACATGCCACAGGACTCTTTGTCGCTTTTTACAGATCCAGAGTAACATGGCTACCCCTCTGATACAATTTATTTCAGTTCTTCATGCTTTTATTATCAAACCCACAAGGACATTGAAAAAAAAAACGCTTTGGGAACTAAAGGACAGAGAGCCAATGAATTATAACAATTTATTGGAGGTAAAAGTTAGGGCTGAGCCATCATCATTTGCCCTTGTGTAGCCCATTGGACAAAAACATTTTCAGTCCATTGTTTTCCAACCCCTAACTGTGCATTTCTTTCACAGAGATAACAACTTCTCAACCATGCCAGGCACAAGTTAGCATATGATAACACCAAAACAAACTGTGAAGCAATAACAAAAATGTACCTTGTATATGTGTATATCACTGAAACCTGAAACAGATGGATTTGCTGCCCAGGAAGCAAGAACTCATGCTGTAGTTGATGAATTAGCTGTATTCTTTCCACAGCTTGGGGGAAGCCAGCCTGTGAAGCCAGAAGCTTTGATTTGTTAGTGCCCAGGTCGACTGAGCACAATCCATTGTTTTAGAAACTTGAGAACAGAAGATTCCATTGGCTGCTGGTTTTCAGCTGAATAAATACAACCAATCAAATGCATTTTAAGAACTGGCCAGTAGAATTCTCCTTTATAATGTTTCTTCTCTTTCTTGGAAAACCAGTGTCAGTTAGACCAAGACATCTCTTTATCGAGATGTGTGTCCGGGAAACAAACTTTAACTCTGCTGAATATTTTAGAGTAAATATATTTTTTAGCGTGATTTTGACTACTTCTGAATTTTACAGCGAGATTTGGAACTTTAAATAGAATTAAGTTTGATGAATGCAAAATAATATCAGGTTTCAGAGTAACAGCAGTGTTAGTCTGTATCCGAAGAAGTGGGCTGTAGTCCACGAAAGCTTATGCTCTAATAAATTTGTTAGTCTCTAAGGTGCCACAAGTACTCCTGTTCTTCTTTTTGCAAAATAATATTGTCAGGTACTTGTAGGGTTTAATTGTTATTCCTTTCTTCTCTCTTGGCTGTAACAGTCCCATAGAGATGTGGAACCGAGAAGCTTTCCCAACTAGTTACCACACTTTCTATACGGAAAAGTTCTTGTTTCTTTTGGAACACCTGGCAGTATGCCTCTGCTTCATGTGAATTGCTGTGCGTGTAGTGTCAGCCTTCGTGATTTCTGTGAAACTCGGTTATCTCCAGTACAACTAATGCCCAGCAATGATAGATGGGGCATTTTTTAATTCTGCTCTTTGGGAGACTAAACGTATCTAGAGAAGCATGTTACTTTCTGGGAGCGGGTAGATTACCTTTGAAATCTGGATGTATTTTACTACATACAAAAAAGAAATTCATTGAAATGAAAGGGAGATTTTCCTGACTATGGGAAAGATTTGGGAACATAAAACATAAGAGAAATATCAATTATCTAGTCCTCCTCCACCCGTTCTAATGGTAGTGTACTCAAATTGCAGCTATTTTAAGGAAATTTAGATTTCCCACAAACTTACTTCAGTGAGATCACTTTACATTGTTGCAGCAAATACTGAGTTTGGTTGGTCATTTGGTGGGACAGGCAAACCACTTCAAACAAAATGGGAAAATCTTGGCCCAGAGCTCATACTGAACTTTTAGGGATAGAAATATCTGGTTCACTTTAAAAAAATCAACTCCCTCCCCGCAATTCCCTACATTTCTGTGCTTTCTGGTTTAAGCCAAGAGTGGAAGTGAAAACAAATATTGACAAAAGGCTGTTCTTGCATTCCTGGTCTGGGCATAACCAGGGCCTGTTGGAACTCTGGTAATTAAATTGCTGCACTAGTGACAAACAGCTAACAAATGAGTGCTTAAAAAAAAAGAAAAGGCAGTCAGTCTCTTCTTCTCCTTCACACCCCTCCTTAGGATCTACCTCTGCCAAATCCGCCAGTGATTGCTCGCTGGAGTTCAGATGGCACTTCCTTAAGCTTTTTTGTTTTCAGATCACACCTACTTAATTTTAAGCACCTAAATAATCTTACTGAAGTCATGTTAGTAAAGTTAATCATGTTGGTAAGTGTTTGCAGGATCAGGGCCCTAGACTGCCAGGTCTCTGGGGCAGGACCTAGCCTTCGTATGTGTGTGTTCAATGCATGACACAACAGGATGCTACTGGAATATTAAATACAGTCATAATAAACTGAGAATGTAGTGACTGTTGTTCTGTGTTTGTACAGCACCTGGCACAATGGACTTCTGGTCTAAGAGCAGGATTCCTAGGCACTACGATAATACAAATAATTAATAATACTAATAACCACTAGCTTTAAGGATGATCTTCACTGTACTGGGGTGAGTTTCACCCTTAGGTTATGTCTACCACTTCGAGCTGGAGGGGTAATGCCCAGCTTGGAGACATACCCCCGCTAACTCTGATCGAGGCAGTGCGCAAATAATAAAGTAACGGCAGCGGCATGAGGAGTGGGAGGGACTAGCTGCCCCGAGATCCCACCTGAGACTCTAGGGACGCACTTGGGGCAGCTAGCTCCCCCTGCTGCTTGTGCTGCCACGGCTGCACTATTTTTAGTGAGCTACCTCAATCAGAGCTAGTGTGGGTATGTCTCCTCAAGCTGGGAATCACACCCCTCCAGCTCAAAGTGTAGACATACCAATAGTGGTGAATGCAGAATCCTGCATGCCTTGTAATTTATGCATGTCTCGTTGGCAATCCCTCCATATGGCTTTCTATCCCCTCTTGGTAGGTGCTTTTTAACTATTTAGTGTCCTTTTGATCTCTAAGCTCCCAGCCTGGCAAAACAACTTTTGAGCTGGAGCCTGGAAGTTGGTTATTGTCCTGTAATTGACCCCCAGTGTTTGTCGGGAGGGTTGCTTGTACGTAGCTATCGTGTTGCTTTCTTGGTTGTTTTTCTGGCAGTCCCCTATTAAGCTAGATCAATACATTCTACGGGAAGATTTTATAATCCAGAATACAATAACTACCCCTCACTGACCAGCTCACATACAGTGTTCATAAAATCACTACATCTCAATATTAGATTATTACATAGCTCTATGTCCGTCACTCTCATTAATTCTATCCTAGGCCAGGTCTACACTAACCCCCTAATTCGAACTAAGGTACGGAACTTCAGCTACGTGAATAACGTAGCTGAAGTTCGAAGTACCTTAGTTCGAACTTACCTTGGTCCACACTCGGCAGGCAGGCTCCCCCGTCGACTCCGCGGTACTCCTCTCGCCGAGCTGGAGTACCGCAGTCGACGGCGAGCACTTCCGGGTTCGACTTATCGCGTCCAGACTAGACACGATAAGTCGAACCCAGAAGTTCGATCGCTCACCGCCGAACTACCGGGTAAGTGTAGCCAAGGCCTTAGAAACTTAGGGCCAGATTTTCAAGTGCTCAGCACCCACCAATAGAGTCAGATTTTCAAGAGAGCTCATTCATGGCCAGATTTTCACACAGAGCTAGGCATCCAAGGTGCTGAGATTTCTAGAAAATGCCATCAGTTATTTTGGTGCCTAAATGGAAGGTGAGTTCTTCTGAAAATCTGGCCTGTAACAAGAAGTTCTGTAATTGGCATGTTTTGGGCTGGTCTCTTCTTCACTTAATGTGGAGTGTGGACAGTAATACTTATCTACCTGGTACAGCTCTTTGAGGGCTTTGGATGAAAGATGCCTGTGAAGTATTATTACTATAACCCTACGACATAATTGCTATTCCTATTTGCTTACCCCATTGCCAGGGAATTACATATAGCAGTTGATCTTGCTGCAAGCTATTTTAACTCAGTAGGATTATAAAGTCTTCTAAAAATCTATCAGCTGTTAGGTAACATGTTTATTGCATATTCCATATATGATCCAATCTCTGCAGCCTTCTATGTGCCAAAGGGTCCTTGATTTCTTCCAATGCCTGTTGAACGACAGCCAGACAGACAAAACACTGAGCTTTTCCTCTTTAAATAGGAAACAACCACCCCATGAAAGCTCTTCTTATATTGACACTATTTGATTTCATGTCTCCTTTGTCTCCCATGGGAGTTTTGCCATTGACTTTATTGGGATCTTAATAAAATATTTTAAAGGTGATAACATCAGTTATAAGTAGATCTAAAAATCGGGATTTTTCTTCTGGCTATTGGGTCATTGCTGAATTTTCCATTCACGGCCCCTTGCAGCCTAGAACAGAAACACTCCTTATCCCGATCTCTACCTGGGTTTCATTAGAGCAAACTCCCATGGTCTCCAGGAACCTGAAACAAGAAATGGAATAATGGTCACTTATTTTCTCACTGTCTAGATTGACTCCTGTCCAACCAGAGGCAGAGGTGACAGCCAGTTCTTGGCATCACAGCCTAAGACATACCTGTCCCACCCAAACCATTCTACTCTTATCAGAAAAATGGATACACAAAAGGTAATTCAAGAAAAACTTCCTGTATCTAAAGCAATTTTAGCACATTATCTGTGCCAGTCACTCACCATAATTACTAAAGACCATATGGTAGGCTGCCCATATGTGAAACTCCTTTTGGTGTTACTGGGTTTGTATGAAGACACTGAAGCCACCATATAGCCCAAGAGATTGTGGTTTATTGGGTTTAAGCTGGAACTAGAAGCAGAAACTCTCAATATTTTATTTCTTTGCTAATTAAATTAGAGGCTGTCCGAGAAGTAAATATTCAGTATCAAGTACCAGAAGGAGGAAATTAGCTAAGCTGCCTATTTTATGATGTATCAAGCTAGACTTCACCAGTGACAGCAATGCACATAGGCGATTCTGGCAGAAATACTGGACCATAACCCCAGCTGGCTAACGTTGGCATAGCTCTGTTGAAGTTAATGGGGCTTTGCTGATTTAAGCCAGCTGAAGATCTGGCCTATAAAAAGCCAATGGCTCACAATACTGACCCAGAGCAAAGATGGCTGCACCACTACAACGACTCCCTGCCCTTCCCCCAGCGTTGGAGGGGTTGTTGTGACCTCACTAACTTCACCTATGTCATACAAGAGAGCCACCCACATTCTGTTTGTTTTTACCTTTGTTCAGTTTTTTGGAGGAGGGATTTTGCTGCTTCAGGGTCACTCCTCAGAAAGGCTTGATACATGGAGAAAGACTGGAATAGCCCGATCACCCCAGAAACGGACATGGGAATTTTGTCTAAGATCTGGGTAACTCTGCAAGAGTGGGAAGAAACCAGAGCATTGGAGAAGTTAGCCTGGAGGGTAATGGAGCTATGTTGATTTATACAAGCTGAGGACCTGGCTCATGTTGATTATTTAGACGTTGAGAATTATCTGTTATCCCTTCCTCTTTTTGGACATTTGGTTATGGGGAAACCTCTGTCATTTGATGAAGAGGCCACACAGATGAACCAGACAGACCAGGGACTGGAGATGTGTTTGAAGGACATTGGACCAAATTATCTCAGGGCTACCTGCTAGTCGTAAACTCTATGAAACTTCTGCAACCTGCAGTCTCAAAGTGAACACCAATGACTGCCACCCAAGTGCCCAACATTCCAGGGCTCACACAGTCCACAATGCAAAAAATTACATAAAATTCAGTTTTGTCCTTGTCTTCTCACCTCTTCTTGTCTGGAAAAGGCACGGACTCAAACACCTCTTTATACTCTGCAATGACAAGATTTACTTTTTCATCTGAATATTTAAGAAGCAGGTCCCGGGTCTGTGAAGTCAGAACAGAAACAGCAAAAATGTTATGTAAGGCCTTGATCCTCCACTCCATCTGAGCTGCACTCCCTGATTCAGGGCTGCCTGGCCTGAGGGCAAGTTAGAGCTACACAGGAGAATAATAGAATAATGCAGACTCTTCAGATTTCCCCTATACATAATACTTGCAGAAGTTTTGTGAATGGGCTACATTTGAACAATTTTAGTTTGGGTTTACTAGTCATTTCCCTCCCCCCCGATCACCCACCCATTATTGTTCGTACTGGACAGAATCTCTTTCTGCTGGGTTGGTATAGTAATGTTCTTTTCCAGAGAATTCCATGAAAAAAACTGTCCTACTTCAAAATCATAGAATATCAGAGTTGGAAGGGACCTCAAGAGGTCATCTAGTCCAACCCCCTGCTCAAAGCAGG